CACTGAAGCAAGCAAGCCTCATGTTCACTTCAAACTGCCTGGCTGCCTGCCGCCATCTTGGCTGGCATTTAATTTTCATATCACTCTGATTAGCCAATGGGAAGTGTGTTGGAGGTATGGTTAATTACCATATTTGTCTATTATTAGATAGGATTATTGGTATTAAGTTTATGTATTTATACATTTAATTCAAATATAATATACCATAATGGTATCCACATTACTGATACAAAATGTATAGTGGGCCTAGTTCTCATACCTAACACTTTTCCAACTTCCTGGACATAAAATGGATGTCCTACAACTCAATTCAATTTTGACACTAATACTACTCGGAGTTGATGCAGACCCCACAGGTTACAGGCTTGGTCCCACTGATTGTCCCCCTTTCCAGATGCTAATCACAAGTCCTAGACATTGTACACTTCTGACTTACTGCTATAAATCTAGGGTTCCTGTGACCCCCATATCAGATTCAATAATTTGCTAGAATAGATGGCAGAGGTCAAAACTATACTTCACTCATGTTTACAGGTTTTTATAAAGGATATTATAAGTATGCAGATGAACAGCAAGATGGAGAAATATATAGGGTGAGGTCTGGAAACATCCTGAGTTCAGGAGCTTATGTCCCGTGTCGTTGAGGTGCACCACCCTTCCAGAACATAGATACATTCACCAATATGGAAGCTTTCCAAGCCCCATCATCTAGAGCTTTTATATAGGTTTCATTACATAGGCATGAATAATTAGATCATTGGTCATTGTTGATTAGGTCAATCTGTAAGCCCCTGTCTCCTCCCCACTGGTCAAGGAAGGGGTCAAAGTGTCAAGTGTCTAATCATTGCTTGGACTATCTGGTGACCAGCCCCCATCCTGAAGCTATCAAGGGCCTGTAGCCACCAATCATTTCATTACCCTCAAAAGATTCTCAGAGAATCCACAAGTTTTAGGGTCTGTGTGCCAGGAAACTGAGAAAGACCAAATATAACAAAAGACTCTCCTAAAATTCTTATCTCAAAAAGTTATAAGTGTTTTAGAGCTTTATCTCAGGAACCAAAAACAAAAACTAAAAATATATTTCTTGCCCTAACCAGTTTTGCTCAGTGGATAGAGCATCAGCCTGCGGACTGAAGGGTCCCAGGTTCGATTTATATTTAAAAAAATAAAAATATATTTCTTATTGTGACACAAATATGAATTTACTATTTCAAGGCGGAAATTACTTTATTATATGGATTTTCTGTTTTTAAAAGGTTAACTAGAACTTAGTTTAAGATTACCTAGTCCTGCCGAAACCGGTTTGGCTCAGTGGATAGAGCGTCGGCCTGCGGACTGAGAGGTCCCGCGTTCGATTCTGGTCGAGGGCATGTACCTGGGTTGCGGGCACATCCCCAGTGGGAGATGTGCAGGAGGCAGCTGATCGATGTTTCTCTCTCATCGATGTTTCTGACTCTCTATCTCTCTCCTTTCCTCTCTGTAAAAAATCAATAAAATATATTAAAAAAAAAAAAGATTACCTAGTCCTGATATCTTTTCAGTTGTCACTATTCATATTTCTTATTCTTCCCATCAAAAAAACCTCTGTTTTTTTACTTTTTTGCATGATTATTGGTAAAGTTTGAAATTTCTTGCTCTAGGAATAAAAAAGGGAAATATTAATATCTGTTAAATCTAGTGCAAAATTATTGTGTCTCATAAGTTATCCTCTGTATTGTTCATTTTCAAAATTAAAAATAAACTTAAAAAACAAAATAAGATTACAAGCTACAAATATTTAGATTATAGCTATTAGCAGATAAAACACTAAAGGGTGCACAAGATTTACTTAGTCTGTTTTCCCAGAACAGTGTTGTATAACATAAAACCCCTAAAGATCAGTGGCTTAAAACAACAGGCATTTGCTATCATGCTTGTGAGTCTGCAGGTTAATTGTGTCTCAGTGGATACCCATAGGCTCAGCTAGATGGCACTGATTTAGGCTTGAAGTTGGCTTCGGGCCTGCTCCAAGTATGCTCATTCTAGAGCTCTAGCAAGAACTACATGATTTTCTGGTGGCTGATCACTGGAAAGCAAGAGCAAGGCCAAACCGCTTAGCCATGTTTAAGGTCTCTGCTCACTGTCATATACACTAACATTCCATTTGTCAAACAAGTCACATGGCTAACCCTAAGTATCAATGTTTAGAGAAGAATACTGGCCTACAGTGGGAGGGGTGGATGAATATTGATGAACAGCAACCCATGCTATCACAGTTTTCATATTAAAAGCATATTTCAGGTTTAAGAACTTAAGCACCCACACCGGAATGAAATGAGTCAACTGTTTTTAGTTTTCCCACATTTATTTAGAACAATGGTTCTCAACCTTGGCTGCACATTAGAATCACCTGGGAATCCTCCAGAATGAGGCCCAGAAATCAGGATTTTAAAAAGATTTCCAGGTGACACTAATAAAATAAAAAAATTACTTCAGAGCTTTTTTTTCATACACCATTCCTATTTTGTTGTTCCCTCACTCGCATGTTGTCCAGTCTTACCTGAACCTGTGGCATCCCTTTAAGTCACTTATTACATACTTTCCTTCACTCAAAACTGCCAGTCCCCTTTCCCAGGCCCTTAGCACTTTTTGTTTGTCTACTGACATTGAGTGGTAACGTTCTTCCCATCACAGGTAATCACTCAGCCTATGTAAACTCTGTGCTTGTCTTAAAGCAGATGTCACATGGGGTTTAGTTTGCTACCCTCCTGATAGCTTCCAGAAATGTAATTTAAGAAACATTTCATGTTTTTATCTTTTCCTGCTTAAATTTTGTTTTAGATCACTTCAAAGGATTTAGTACTGTGTCTTAATGTACAATATAAAATGTAAATATTTCAGTGAAACAACTTTCATATAACTTTTCTATAGCAAAGAAACAATTTTTTTCATGTATCTATAGGTACAGGAATTTATATGCATCTAATGAGTGATATAAAATATTGCATGTAAATTTAATAAAATACTTGTTTCATTTTATTCCAAATTTGAAAGTTGATTTATTATTTTCTAGAATTCTTTAAGACTGTCATTTTTTTCAATTTAGATCAAATCTCTTAATGAAGAAAATGTGATTGGCAAGATTTCCAAGAAGTGGACTGGTTTTGTGAGAGAAGCATGTACAGATTACAGTGACTTTGACATCCAGTTCCCTTTAGACCTTGATGTGAAAATGAAAGCTGTGATGCTTGGTGCATGTTTCCTCATTGTAAGTCTATTCTTGGTAATCTTGGGTATTTCTTTAATATCACTCTGAAAGATTCAGTAAAGTGTATCTTTTTAAATGAACTGCTTAAACTTATAGGTTTTATTCAAATGGTGCCCCATTTAATCCTAGCTCTGAAATTCCATTTTCTCCTGATGGTTTGGATTCACAGGTGACTAGTTTCTCTGGAAATTCTATAGTTTCACATGGCAATAGAAGAGGCTTTGGTCTTTGGGGCTTCTATTTAAAAATCAAAATAGGTGCACTCAGATATGGACTAAGGTGGAGTAGAGCCCATTGAAATGGGGAGATTTCATCCTGGTTCATTATTAAATTAAATGCTCTACTACTTAAGTGAAAACTACTTAAAAGTGCATCCAATCTGGCCACCAGATGGAACTGCCAGTTGACACACATGGGATAAAGCAGTGATTCTACACTTGTCTTCCATGACTTAGGGAAAATTTAAAAACCTCAAGTACCAAATCAGACCCCCCATTCTATTAAGTCAGAAGCTCACACATTTGTTGTTATGCTCCGCAGGTGATTCAATATGCAGCCAAAATCAAGGACACCTGGGAGAGAGCAACAGTTCTCAATCTTAGCTGCACAGTAGAAACACCTGAGTAGCTTTTTAAACTCCCTGTATCAAGACTGCACCCAAATAGTGAATCAAAATCTCTGGAGATGGGACCAACCTTTAAGCTGTTAACCTTTCAGACCTCAAGGACCTCATGGACCACTGGTTGGCACCGCTGGTTTAATCACTCAAGCGTGGTTTGGAACCACTAAATGAATATCTGAAATATTTATTTGGGGATGCACTCAGAAAAAAAAATAAAACATGAGAGAATTTACAACAAAGGGATCCAGTTCCTTCAACAAATAAATGTCAGGAAAATAAAAAGATTAAAATAAAATTCAACCTAGTAAAATTTGTTGACCATGTTTGCATATTGATTTGAATAAATCAGTTTAAAAAGCATTTACAATGCATTTAGGGAAATTTGAACCTTGGCTATTTAATGATAATGAATTAAGGTTGGATTTTTTTGGTTCTTATTTTTAACTTTAAAAGTTTTTAAATTTATTTTTCAAATATAGTTGACATACAATATTATATTAGTTTCAGGTATACAATATACTTATTAGACATTTATATACTTAACTAGAGGCCTGTTGCACGAAGAGATTTGTGCAATAGGCCTTCCCTTCCCTTGGCTACTGGCAACAGTTTTCCTCTGGCACCTGGGACCCAGGTCTTCACTCCGGCTGGGCTCTGGCCAGAGCCCCCCTCCAGCTGTCAGGCCTCTCTGCTCCTCTGATCCCGGGACCATGAGGCCTCGCAGCTCTGCTGATCCCAGGGCCATGAGGCCTCGATGTTCGGCTGGCTTCAGGGCCGTTTGGCTTGGCTCCACCGCTTGGAGCCTACATATGCAAATTAACTGCCATCTTTGTTGGTGGTTAATTTGAATATCACCTGATTAGCCAATGGGAAGTGTAGCGAAGGTACGGTCAATTACCCTTTTTGTCTTTTATTAGATAGGATGATGTGACTTGCACAATAAGTCTAGTACCCTGCTGGCACCATATATATTAATCAGAATATTATTGTCTATATTACCTATACTGTAATCTACATGTCCATGACCATTTGTATAACTAGCAATTTGTACTTAACCCCTTTCATGTTTATGGCTCATCCTTCCAACCTCCACTATAAATTAAGGTGTTTTTTAAGCTGTGGTGATGACATTGTGGTTGTGTGAAAGCAAAACACCATCCATATATTTTAAGGACACATATTGAAGTAAACCAGCATAAAATGGTATATCAGGGTTTGTTTTTTTTAATAATGGGGTGAGGGCAGGGAGACATAGGGGATGCAGTAATCGTTGAACCAATATTGGTCATGTTAATCATTCAAGCTGGGTGAAGGGTTGTTGGGACTTTATTATGGTATTCCACCTAATTTGGGATATGCTTAATATTTTCTATAAATCTTAATATAACCAAGGTTCTTTGTAAAAAATTTTCCAATAAGCGTTTATTTCACATAAAAAGTCAAATCTAACCTTGTGGAAACAGTTCAACTAACAGCTGGGTAATGTGAAATATATGATGTGTTTGAGGAAGAGAGTCTTAAATGTTTGGATTGATGGTAAATGAGACTGGGGTGGTTGTGGGTTTATAGTAAATTACTAAGGGCTTCCTCTAAAGGGCCTTCAAAGATCAGGCAACTTTTTATAGAGTTGTAATTCATTAAAATTGTTTCATTAAATGTTGGTTTTAAACTAGGTATAATGTAATAATGTAAATCAAATATAAATATTGGTGTCTATGAGAGAAATGAATTTGAGAGGTAAAATTGCAATAGTGTAATCGCTAGTAATTGACAATAAGGATAAAATTATTTCTGTTGAAGGTATAAAGGAAAATGATAGATTTAGGAATTGTGAATTCCACAGGGTTTGGCTGAAGTCATAGGGGTAGGGTCTGTATTGATACTAATGAAATAAAATAAGCTGGGAACACAGTGGAAAAATTGGAAGACAAATGAAACTAACACAAACATTCTATCTTTTAAGAAAGCTGTCATTCTTACGACAATTTTTAAAAATATTACATGGAACTCTAGTCATAGAAAAAGTTCTGTTACTAGAGAGCGACTAAAAAAGTTGAGTAAGAAAAATTAAAAGAGGAAGATTTCTAGGGAACTAGAAAAAAGGAAATGTATTGAAACTACCAGATCATTAAATTAATGCAGATATCAACAGATGAGTAGAATTACAGGATTTAATTGCTAATAAAATAAAGTGCTGACGGTAGAGCTTATATAGCCACGCACTTTTCACAGATTTAATTATTACAGTTAAATTTTCTTATTTAACAGACATATTACTGTTTTCCTCAGAACATTTAGCATTTCTACATCAAATTATTACCTGTTTTGCTGCTGAAAACTCATTTCTGTATTTTTGTTTTTATCTAGGATTTTATGTTTTTTGAAAATAATTCATTCCCTCGAATACTGGGTTCATTCCTGAAAGCAAGATTGTGTTAGTGTTTTAATGAGTGTCAAAAAAGTTGAAGTTCTATACTCATTGGGACTGTCTAAAAGAAAAATCAGTGATTTTTTAAAAATAATTATACAATATGTGAATTACTCTGTGATTCCTATAGTCCAGGTATGTGATTTCACTTTTAAATTATATAGTTTATTTTCTGTATTATTGCTTATAAAAGATTTATACATTTTCTTTGAATGTCCATTATGTATTCAGGAGAAATTACATAGGACATTTTACCTTTAGACATGAAACTTCTTATGCAAAACTACTTTGAATTATAGTCTAATTTATTTTCCACTTTTATAATAAAAAATAGATTATTACTAATTTATAAAATTATAATTTATTAAATTGTTACAATTTACTTCATTTGTAACAAGTAATATTATTTTGCAAATCATGCATATTCAAGAGTTAAATATTTAACAAAATTTTAGTCTCCTTTATAATTATGTTCAAATAATACTTAATATACATATTATCAACAAAATAAAATTCAGAATTTTCACTATATTTAACTTCTTCTATAATCTGGTACTATAAATAAAATTTTCATACTGACATGACAGTAAGTTACCAATTTTTTATGGTTTTTAGTGGACAAAAACATGATTCTGTTCCAAAGAAGGACACATTTTAAAGACACTCTAAAACTGGGGTATTATAATTTTCGAAGTAAGTTTTAATATGGAATGATTAGCTCCTACATTCCATCATCCATTGAACATAAAAAACTCTAGTGTTAGTAGATATGCATATTCTTTCACAGAGTAAAAACTTCAATAGTAGTCTATTATTACCTATATAATAAAATCCCAGCAACCATAATGGCAGAATGACCAGAACTACTGCTTGACCAGTCACTATGAGGTGTACTGACCATCTCTTGGTCCCTTTCCTCAGCCTGCAGGCTCCAATTCCTCGATGGCGAACGGGGACCCAGAGTTAGGTGGCGGGGGATGCAGGTGGCACCAGGCCAAGGCCCCCACCCTGCCAAGTCGCCCCACACACAGAGGACAACCCATAGCGGGAGTTGGGCAGGTGTGCAGGTGGAACAGCCAATCTCTTCTTCCCTCCCCCTGGCTGGCAGGCTCTAATTGCCCGATGGCAAACAGGGAACCAGAATGGGTGGCGGTGGGTAGCGGGGCTGGCGAGCGGGCGGGAATGGCTGACCTCTTGGTCCCTCCTCCCAGCCGTCAGGCTCGATCACCTGATGGTGAATGGGGAGCCAGGATGGGTGGCAGGATATGTGAGCTGTGCCAGACCAAGACCCCGCCCCGCCAGTTGCCCCACTCACAGAGAGTGACCTGTGGCAGGGGGTGGGCCAGGAGCAGGCAGGACCGGCCAACCTCTGGTCCCTCTCCCCCAGCCGTCAGGCTCCAATAGCCTGTTGGCAAGCTGGGAACCTGGCTGGATGCCAGCAGCCAGGGAAGATGGCCCTGATCACAGGCTAGGCCTAGGGACTGTACCCACCCACAAGTTTCATGCACTGGCCCTCTAGTTTATAATAATCAAATAACTGAAATAAAAACTTGATGACATATTTCATAATATATTTTATTTTTTAATTTAATTTATTGGGGTGACACTGGTTAACAAAATTATACAGGATTCAGGTGCAAAATTTCACAACACATAATCCGCTTAAACTATACTGTGTTCAGCACCCCAAATCAAGTCTTATTCCATGACTATTTATTCCCCCTATAACCTTCTTCCACCTCTTTCCTTCCCCCCAAGGGGTCCTCAAACTTTTTAAACAGGGGGCCAGTTCACTGTCTCTCAGACTATTTGAGGGCCGGACTACAATTTAAAAAAAAAAAACTATTGACAAATTCCTATGCACACTACACATATCTTATTTTGAAGTAAAAAAACAAAACAGGAACAATACAATATTTGTATTTGCATGTGGCCCGCGGGTCATAGTTTGAGGACCCCTGCCCCAGGCAATCACCAGACTTGTCCTTGTCCATGAGTTTTTTTCTCTCTTTTATTTTTCTTTTTTGCTCAATCCCATCCCCTATATCTACCCCCAAAACCCCCTCTCAACAGCTGTCAGACTGCCTTCTATCTATGAGTCTGTTTTTACTGTGCTTGCTAGTTTATTTATTTATTTTTCATTAGATTCCACCATATGAATGAAATCATATGGTACTTGTCTTTCTCTGACTGGCTTATTTCACTTAGCATAATGCTCTCCAGGTCCATCCATGCTATCACAAAGGGTCAGATTTCCTTTCCATTATATTAATGTACCAACACTTAAAAAAATTGTGTGTGTGTGTGTGTGTGTGTGTGTGTGTGTGTGTGTGTGTGTTGATTTTAAAGTGACTGGAAGGGAGAGGGAGACAGAAAGAGAGAAACATCAATATGAAAGAGAAACAGTGATCAGTTATCTCCCGCAGGCACACCACTGGGGATTCAACCTGAAACCTGGGTATGTGCCCTGAGCAGGAATTGAACTGGTGTCTCTTTGGTGCATAGGACCATGCACAACCAACTGAGACTCACCAGCCAGGGTCACAGCTTTTTTAACTATTCATCTACTGATGGACACTTGGGCTGCTTCCAAATCTTGGCTCTTATACATAACACTGCAGTGAACATAGGGGTGGGTATATATTTTTTGAATTAGTGTTTCAGGTTTCTTTGGATATATTCCCAGAAGTGGAATCACTGGGTGATAATGCAGTTCCATTTTTAATTTTTTGAGATAACTCCACAATGCTTTCCACAGTGGTTATACCAGTCTGCATTCCCACCAACAGTGCACTAGAGTTCCTTTTTCTCCACATCCTTACCAATATTTGTTGTTTGTTGATTTATTGATGACTAGAGGCCCAGAGCACAAAATTCATGCATGGGTAGCGTCCCTAGCCCTGGCAGGTGATCAGGGCCGATCGGGGACTTCTGGCTGCCAGCCGGGGCCTTCCTTCATTCTGTGCCACCCTCTGGCGGTCAGCACATGTCATAGCAAGTGATCAGTCTCCCAGTTGAACTCCCACAGGAACAATTTGCATATTAGGCTTATATATATATTGCTGACAGGTGTGAGGTGATATCTCATTGTGGTTTTATTTTGCACTTCTATTTTTTGTTTCCCCCCCAAAATCTTTATGATTGAGAGTATTATAGAGGCTTCTCTCCCTCCCATTGCCCTTCTCCACCAGGTTCCTGCCATACCCCAGGTCTTCACCACCCTATTGTTTGTGTCCACGGGTAATGCATTTATGCATATAAATTCTTTAGTTAATTCCTTCCCACCATCCTATCCTCCCTCTGTGATTTATTAATCTATTGCATGTTTACATGCCTCTGGTTCTATTTTATTCATTAGTTTATTTTGTTCATTACATTGCTTGTTCATTTATTTTTATTTTTATTGTTGTTAATCCTAACCTAAGGATAATTTTCCATTGATTTTTGGAGAAAGTGGAAGGGAGAGGTAGAGACAGAGAAATAGAAACATCTATGTGAAAGAGACACATCAATGGTTGCCTCCCACATAGGCCTAGACCAGGGCACCAGGGGAATCAAGCCTGCAACCAAGGTATATGCCCTTGACTGTAATTGAACCCAGGACCATTCAGTTTGTGAGCCAACACTTAGCCAGGCCTATTTTGATTTTTAGATTCAATCATTGATAGATATGTATTTATTGCCATTTTATGGCTCATATTTTTTATCTTCTTTTCCCTCTTCTTAAAAAATACCTTCAACATTTAATGTAATACTGGTTTGGTGGTGATGAACTCCTTTAGATTTTTCTTATCTGTGAAGCTCTTTATCTGTCCTTCAATTCTAAATGAGAGCTTTGCTGGGTACAGTAATCTTGGTTCTTTACTATTCATCACTTTGAATATTTCTGGCCACTCCCTTCTGACCTGCAAACTTTTTGTTGAGAAATCAGCTGCTGGTTGTAAGGGCATTCCCTGTAGGTAACTAACTGTTTTTCTCATGCTGTGTTTAAGATTCTCTCTTTGTCTTTAGCCCTTGGCATTTTAATTATGATGTGTCTTGGTGTGGGCTTCTTTGGGTTCCTCTTGTTTGGGACTCTGCTTCCTGGACTTGTAGTTCTATTTCTTTCACTAGGTAGGGGAAGTTTTCTGTCATTGTTTCTTCAGATAGATTTTTAATATTTAGCTCTCTCTCTTCTCCTTCTGGCACCCCCATGTTGCAAATGTTGGTATGCTTGAAGTTTTCCCAGAAGTTCCTTACACTATCCTCACTTTTTTTTATTCCTTTTTCTTTTTGCTCTTCTGGTTGGGTGTCTTTTACTTCTTCATATTCCTAATCACTGATTTGATTTTTGGTATCCACTATTCTACTGTTGATTCCCTGTAAATTATTCTTCATTTCAGTTAGTATGTCCTTCATTTCTGACTGGTACTTTTTCATGTATTTGATGTTCTGACTTATTTCCTTGAAATTCTCACTAAGTCCCGTGAAGCTCTCATTAAGATCCTTGAGCAAGCTTATAACCATTGTTTTGAACTCTGGATCTAGTAGTAGTTTGCTTGCTTCCATTTCACTTAGTTCTTTGTCTGGAGATTTCTTCTGTTCTTTCATTTGTAACATGTTTATTTATCTCTGCACTTTGGTTGATTCCCTGGGTTTGCTGAACATCTTCTCTTATGTCTATTGGACATCTGTATATCCTCTTTAGAGATGTGTTTTATTAAGGTTCTTTGCTCATTTATTTTCTATATTATTTATTATTATTGATTTCAGAGAGAGAGAGGAAGGAAGAGGGAGACAGAGATCTAAACATGGATGATCTATTGGCTGCCTCCTACATGCCCCCTACTGGGGATTGAGCCCATAATCCAGGCATGTGTCTTGATCAGGAATCAAACCAGTGATGTCTTGCTACATGGGTCAACACTCAACCAACTGAGCACCACTCAGGCATACTCCATTATTTTTTATTTTGTTTCCCTTGCTTGAGGAGATATATGAGAAAAAAAAATGCTACAAAAAATGTCCAAGA